GGGTGGGGGTCAGGGCCACAGGATCCAAGGCATTTCTTGCGGATAGAAGCCACTTGGAATCTCTGCCATGCCATTTCTCAGCCCGGTCTTCCCAAGCTCTGCCCCACCTCACGGCTCTATGTTCCGCACGTGAGGCTTCCAGTCCAGTGCTGTTTGTTGCCGACACTGCCCAAGCTCACCAGCTTTCCCTCTTCTTTCCAGGTGCCCTGATGGTCAGTCCAGACAGGGGGAGCTGCCCTGTGTCCAGGCAGAGGCCCTGATGCAGGCACACCTGCCCTCCAAGCTGGCCTGTGTGGTCTCCCATCCAGCCCAGGGTGCCTGCCTGGCTGCCACTCTGAGTGCTGAGATCCTGGTCAAGGCTGTCACCCCGCCTGGAGCGCTGTCAACACTGGAAGTAAGGGGCAGCATGGCACGCTGGGCTCCAGCCAGAGCCCTTGCAATCTGCATGTTGACAACTCCGCCACCTGCCACTACGTGAACCCTACAATTTTCTGGGTGGAGCGTGTGTACACCATCTATCTGGAGTCCTGTGGGCCTCATTCCACAGCCTGGCAGGGAGACTCAGTCCCCAGCCAGTGAGCACCTAAGAAAGCAGCAACTACTGGGGCCAGGCCAGCAGCTTCCACCACTCACAGCTGATTCAAAGAGAAGAGAAGCGAGGTGGGGCTCCACTGACCCTTCGGCAGGCTGTGGAGACCACACGCACTGTGGAGCTCCTCTGCCTCCGGCCGGGACCATGTCAGCCACGTGGCCTCTCAGCTGGACGGACAGATGAGAAGCTCTGAGGGGCAGCTATGTCTTTAATAAAAAATGGGAGGCAAATTAATAATGACTTAATACTTGCAATTTGGGATCAAAATCTTCTAAAGCATGAGAAAAATAGTAAGAAAGGAGAGGTTTCTCTTCCCTCCTCCCTCCCTCTTCTTTTTGTCAGGGTCTCACTATGTTGCCCAGGCTGAACTTGCCCTCTGAGTTCAAGTGATCCTCCTGCCTCAGCCTCTCATTATGGGGACTCTAGGCATGTGCCTTTATGCCTGTCTGGGGAACTCTTGAATGAAATGCATAGGAATAAATGCTATCTGTCCTCAGGGGTTACGGAGAGAAGAGAAGGGTGGTGGGGATGGGGCCTTCTCTCTTACCTGGGCCTGGGAGACAGTGCTAATGTCCCCATTTTACAGATGAGCAGACTAACTACGCAGTAAGGCAAGTTAGTTGCTGTGGGTTGCAGGGCCAGTAAGTGTCCTGAACCTAGGCCCACTTCATTTAAAAATGAAAATGGTAGCCGGGCATGGTGGTGCACACCTGCGATCCCAGCACTTGGGAGGCTGAGGCAGGAGGATCACCTCAAGTTTGAGGCCAGTCTCAGTGACACAATGAGTCCAACCCAGCCTGAACTACAAAGCAAGATCCTGTCTCCAAAATGGCAGGATGCTGGGGGTGTAGCTCAGTGTGAATCCCCTGTAACACACACACACACACACACACACACACACACACACACACACACACACACACACACACACACACACACAGAGATGAAGAGGAGGACGAAGAAAGAAAAAGAGTGTGTCACTGAGATGTCTGACAAGTCAATCTGTCTGAGGGAAAGAAGCACAGCACCAAGCAGAGGGAACAGCTGTCAGGCCTCCATGCGGGAATGAGCCACTCTTTACTGCTGGGCTGCCCACACTTAGAAGAGGGCCTGGCACACACGCAGTAGGTGCCCAGGCAAGGTCCTGAACGGCAGGCTGAAGACTGGGGGCACAGAGGGTACTGCCTACTGTGAGGTAGCGAGAGGAGGTAAATGTTTTCATTCGATCTTAGCCAAAAGGCTGAGAAGCGATAGGATGTTTTCAGACCCCTAGTTTCTCAAGAGCCTTGACCAGCCTCCTTTGATAATTTTTTAAAAATAATTTTATAACTGTATGAAACATAGAAAACAATAGCAGACATCAGGGAGCCCATCACCAGGCTTTACCAGAATTCCACTTTTGGCAACCTTCATTTCAAATATTTTTATCATCAAATATAGGTGCAGATATGGCCAAAAGCTCTCTCCCCCCAGGTCCACCTTACCATCCACCCTGGGGTTAATCCTTATAGCAATTCGCGTATCTCCTCCTGGGGAGCATTATCTTGGGGCTGTACAATCTCCAGGCACGCACACTCACAGTGCCTACCTTTCATGCTGCGAATTTCCCTAGGTTCTTTATGATGCTGTTACCATACAGTCTATGTTGGTACACGGAGATCCAGCTCGTTCATTTTAACTACTGTCTATTGCACCCCTGGATGAGTAACTGTTTGTTGGGGCTGCAGGCTCAGTGGTAAAGTGTGCTTGACATGCATGAGGCTCCAGGGTCAGACCCTAGCATGCCACATGTGTGCACACATGCACACATGCATGTGCACACACACACACACACACACACATGAGGAACTGTCTCTCCCTTCTTATCATACATAGATAGCTGGGGGTGAGCTCAGGGATAGAACACTTGCGTAGCATGCATAAAGCCCTGAGTTCCATCCTCAGCAACATAAAAAAAGGGTTTTTTTTTCCACAGATATATAGGTTTTAGTTTTTGCTATTTCAAACAACACAGTAATATAAAAATCTTTGTGTATCTCTAGGAGCACTCATGTCACATATGACCCCTACCACACTTGTAACATGTTGGAATTTGTGTCCCTTTGCATGACCTGGGATAATTGTTTCATGTCTTAGAAGCTTAGAAGTTTCTTCATCTGCAAATCGGGGCAATAAAATGGTACAAATTACCAGGCATGGTGATGCACATCTGTGATCCCAACACTTAGGAGGCTGAGGCAAGAGGATTGCTATGAGTTTGAGGCCAGCCTGGGCTACACAGTGAGTTCAAGGCCAGCCTGAAGCACACAGGCTGGCCTGTCTCAAAAAAGAGAAACAAAAACAAAAGTGGCACAAATGTTTGTGAAGATTCTGTGCTTCAATGTAGATGACAGGCAGCTGCCCCCATAAAGTGCTCTGTGAGTACTGCTGGTTTATCCCTTGGGCTTTCAACCTGCAGGACAAACTGAGCACTCTCCCCGGGGGTGATGCAGTGGGCAGCCTGGTGAAACTCATGCCATGTGCTCCAGCTGATGGGTGTAGCAGTGGAAACAGAGTCCCTGCCTCTGATCCAGCCAGGAGGGAAGGCACTGAGGCTCCCCAGGAGGTGACACTGAGCCAGGAGCTCCGATAAAGAGGTAAAAAAGGTGAGTGTAGCACTGGAAAGCAGGTGACTGGCCAGGCAGAGGGAGCAGCAAGTATGAAGGGAGCAAAGGCCATCAGAAAACAAGCCTGGAATTTAAGAGGTGGGTGTGAGGGGTGGCAGCGTAAAACTGGCCCAGCAAGGTATCCTAGGGCAACAAGGGGCCATGGAAGGACAGGGCAGTGACAGCCCAGGTCCCTGTCTTGAGAAGATCAGACTGGTCACAGTGTAGAGCAGGGTGTGAAGGGAAGAGATGGGCTGGGAGACCAATAGGTGATGTGGTAAGGGCCGAACTAAGGTATGTATGGCTTCAGCCAAGCAGGTCTGTCCCCCAGACCCTTTGCTAGACACCATCTTAGGGAGCCTGGGACTGCTGCAGAGAAGGCTGACACTTATCTGGTCATGGGTCCATGGACAGTTTGACCTCTGGCTGCCTTTGAGACAAGCCCAAAGCCTCCCTCTCCCACCACCCATCAACTCAGCCAAACACCTTCCACACGGGGGCAGTGTCAGGAGAGACGTGAGGAACAGGAGGTGACGGGAGCCTGCCCCAATCCCAAGAGGTCTGTCTCTGCACATCTCAACTGTCCTTCTGCCGGGGCTCGATCAGCACCCAGTCATGAGCTCTCAATGTCCAGGTGACCAGGGCTGCACGGCAGGGTCCTTGCCATGTCCCAGGATAAGGGAATTCACCCACAGCCAGAATGCACAGATGCTACATGGGGTGAGGGGAAGGGAGGGTGACCCATTCTAGGAAAAGAAGGGGCTGGCAGCTATCACTGGGTGACCTTCTCTGCTATCTGAACATCAGATATCAAAAATGGAAAAAAGGCACATATAAGAAATGCCTCTGACCCTCCATTCCTTACACAGGAACCCCATTTATACCTCGAGTTAGGAGAATACTGCTTTTGAAACCTCTACTCTCAGTGGCTGCTGCATCCCTGGCCCTCCACACCCTAACACTCCACCTTCTCAACATTCATCCCTTCCCAACTGCATGTTTAATGCCTGCCTCTTCCCTGGCTGGAGCTCCCAGCAGAAAGGCCATGCCTGCCTCGTTTGCTGATGTTTCCGGTGTCCAGAACAGACTCAGCTTATCGGGGTCCTGGGAGCATGAGTATACTCAATGGATACACTGATGAAGGGGCAGGGGGAGCAGGAGGACCAGGCCTGGCAGGAGGAGATCACAGTCTGCTCAGAGCTTTGACTCGCAGGGCCTTTCCTACTCATCACATTGCAAAGAGCCTTCGAGACCCACAGAACACAGAGCCACAGGAAGCAGCTTGAAAAGCTCCAGGTTAAACCACATGAAAAGTTTCTTGGCTGTTGGTCCTTCTGAATTTTAATGTGCTCATGTGTGATGTCAGCAGAGAACACACAGCCAGTAGCACTGACTGAAAGGGGGTTCACGTGCCCCTTTGGGTGCCCCTTCCCAATTAGGCCACTCACGCACCGAGAGGTCCAGCAGGAGATCTTTATTGTAGGGAGGTGAGCAGGAGGCAGGAAGGCAGAGAAAAAGAGAGAGAGAGGAGGAAGAAGAAACAGAAGGAGAGAGAACAAAGAAAGGAAGGTCCTTTTATCAGTTTGGGGGTGGGCTATTGCTTATTTATGAGGAGTGAGTTACTTTTAACCTATCACAGGCCAGATTGCTTTTATGGGCCCAGTCCTGCAGACACAGGTTTTAACTTTCCTGGACCACTGTGGCCTTGCGGGGGAGGGAAACCAGAGATAAGGGCATGAGGTCATTTTAGGAGCCAAGATGTACCAGGAGAATGCAGCCTGTGAGGCGGTGTCACAGCATACTTTAACATGATCAATTCCCTAACACTGACACCTTGCTGACAAGGAACCTCTCCCGTAAAACAGTTTAAAACTTTGTCCCAGCCCTCAGCTGCTTATCTTGACAGTTTAGTACCCAACTGCACGCAATTTCCAGCAGGACAGGAAAATCCTTTCTGACAAATATAAACTACTTCAAACCCCAACACATAAATGGGATAAAAACAGCTGCTCTAGTGGAAGTGGGGCCTGGAGATCTCTGGCCGTCACCTCTGCTGCCATCCCTGCCAGGAGCCCTCATGCCCCGTGGAGCAGTCTGAAAACCAGCAGTGCACAACTGAGAACAGGGGTTGAATAGGACTTGTTGGTGCTTAGCAAGTCATTTAGCTTCACTGGGTCTCCGTCTTCCCATTTCTATATCCTGAACTTTCAGTGTTGACATGAGGACTGCAATTCCGGGACTAAAGACAGCCTAACTCAGGATCTGTGGCTCTCTGATTTGAAGCCTCCATTGCCTTTTATTCCAGTTCTGGGGCTGCCTGTACCTGGCCCTGCCCTGGTACAGCACACTGGAGCCCAGGCTGTGACAAGCTGAATACAGTAACTGCGTGTGCTGCCCAGGGGCACACACCCTGTGTGTGCAGGGTGGATGGGGAGGGCTGCGTGGACCTATTCAGCAGCCACTCGGTGGGCAGAGCTGGGAGAGGAACCCAGGTCTCCTGACTCCTGCTCTATCTTTAGATCTCCATAGCAACCGTCGCCAGGGCACTGAACTGAAGGCACAGGCTGAGCCAGCTGCCTGCCAGAGGAGGGTGGGGCGTTTACCTCCTCTGCCTCTTCTGCTGGGAAAGGACTGTGGGCTGGGCTCCTGAGGCAGGGAAGGGAGACTGAGCGCAGAGCTGTTGGCAGTGGGAAAGGCTAGGACCAGGACAAAGGTAATGGAGGGTAACACCTTGCCCTGAGGACATCGTCAGGTCACAGAATGCAAGGCCTTGAGCACATCAGGCTCACAGCACTGAGGATTGCACGGTAATACTCTCTAGAGAGCGCTTGCCCTCTCCAGGTTTCCTAAACACCTAGGAGCACCAGACCTGAGAGGAAGATGAGGTCACAGCTGGAGAATAACCCCACAGGGAAGATGAGAAATGCAGATTCCCAGAGGTGAGGACACTTGGCCAAGGTCACTCAGCAGGCCAGGCCTTCAGACTCCTTCGGTGTCTAATCCTTCTTGTGTCCCTGTATCAGACTCTTGGACAGGGCTCTGGAAGGAAGGCCAGGGCTAGAAGAGGAAGTAGGAGTCCTCGGCCAGGCCCACACAGAGTAAGCACTTGGCCATGTCTCTGGTAAACTCGGGTGAGCCACAGACCAATGCAAATGGCTTTCTCCGGCAGCATCTGACCACCTCTTCTATCAGGTCCAGGCCCAGGCGGCCCAAGTGGGTCTTCTCTCGGTAACTCCAGGGAAGCTGCTCTAGTGAGCTCTCCTGGGAAGACGAGAAAGAGCAGGGTGACTGCTGGGGGCTTCTCAGGGTTCACACTGCCAAAGGAGGAAGCTGAAGCGAGGAGGGTGGGAAGCCAACCTGCACCCAGCCCAACCACGAGCCAGGCTTCTCTTCATCACCCTCAGCAGATTCTGCAGATGGGGCCCAGGGAGGAGGAGGAGGGACTTCTGGGCACACAGGGACACAGCGGCAGTGACAGGCCCAGGACTCAAGTCTTGCCACTTCTTGCCGCCTCCCAGCCGCCACTGCACCTGGCCCAGGATGGAAGTGCCCTTCACGGAGGGCTTCCCAGAATTCCTTCCGGGCCATCTGTCACCATCGCTGGGGGACATGCCTCTTGTTCATCTGTTTGAAGTTTCACTGAATTGACACATTCACTTGATGGATATTTCCTGAGGACTCACTTGGTGCCAGGCACTGTGCTAAACAATGGGGACAGGGCAGCTGCTCAAACTTGAGGCTCTGGCCTCACCAGGGCTGCAGGGAACACAGGCCCCGGGGAGCAGTCACCACCTGCTGGGTTCTTTCCCTCCGAAAGTGGCCGAATGGGCCCTCCAGGGATTTGGGAGGCCCCAGGGATTGGCTCCTTCTCTTTATACCTCTCTAGTCTTGGCCTGAGGCTTTTCTCCTTAGTCCCAAAGTGAAAGTTCCACATTCAGTTGACTTGGAGGAATCTGTTTGTTTTCAAGTAAACATTTTATTGAAGTATAACTCGTGCCAAAAAAACAAATAAATCATTAAGTATGTGTAGTTTGAAGTCTTTTTTTTTGAGACAGGGTTTTGCTATATATTTCAGGCTGGCCTTGAACTGAAAGCCCAGCTAAAAGAACTTTAATGAAGAGAAGAAACCATGTAAGGAGCACATAAACAAGGAAAACAGCCAAGAGTGGACCTATGAAGGCCAGCTGCTTGTTCCCAGGGTGAAGGCACAGGGAGCGAGGGGAGCTAGAGCGGGAATGGCCCCACTGCCACCTCCCAGAGTGACTGATCTCTCTGAGCGATGGGATGTGGGCACAGGCCATGGAGAGCCCCTGTCCAGTAAACCAGTGAGGGTGCCACCGGCAAAGGCCTCTAATCCCACGTGGGCTTGCTGCAGCTCACCTCCCAGGGCTGGTCTGAGCCTACAGACCCTCTGCTGGTGATGAGGGGTTCCTTCTGATCTTCCCCCGCTCCCCCTCCCCCTCAGTTGGACCCACCTGATGAGGCCTGACCTCCCCTTTCCACTGCCCAAGGCCCTCAGGCCAGTCAGGTGTGGCAGACCCCAGCCCAGCTGTGCACCTGCTGGGTCTGGTTGCTGCTCAGGAGGGGAGGGGACTTGTAAACAGTGATGGTGCAGTGAATGGAAAGAGCTACCAGCCCCGGGGCTCTGGAACAGCTCCAGGATGGACTTACACCTCAGCAGAGAGGTGAGGGACAAGAAGGTGCACATCTGCACCCACAGGGACAGCAACTCCAAGAACAGCATGCAGGGAGGGCAGCCAGGAGCCTGGGCTCCGACAGTGTCCGGAGAGCAGTAGGGAGGGGCCCGAAGAGGGGCGGGGGGGGGGGGGGGG